GCCTGCATTTCGCGCACTCGACACGCACGATCTCCGCAGAGGGTTGCACTTTCGGTTGACGCTGTTCGTCCCGCACTCCGCCTTTAAGAGAGAATTTATAAAGTGGGGAAATGTTTTTTCATTAGGACATCTCCCGTGCTAGTTTTCCATACTCACACTTGCCTACTCATTGCATGCTTGTATACTCATTGCGTGCTTGCATACTCACCCTTGCATATCATGCTTGCATACTTACACTTGCATACTTTGACACTGGCATACTTCGCACTTGGATGCTTTCGCTCGTCCAGTGTGTGTGTGTGTGTAAGTGTAAGTGTCGAAGTGTAAGTGTTCAAAGGATTTTCCGGAAGAACCCTTCGCAATGCTTTCGGGAAAAACTGCGACCCCGTGGTTGTTTTTTGGACCCCCCCCTTCCAAAATATGTTGTTGTCTCTACCCCCCCTAGAAACAAAATCTGCGACCCCGTTGTTGTTTTTTGACCCCCCCTCCCCAAAACAACACAACAAAAAACAAGAAGCAGACCAACCAAGACTTGAGTACCACAACGACAAGAAGTCCAGCTACTAACATCTCTCCAAACCTTCGACCCTATCCCTAACAGAATCCCATTGAAATCCCTGACTTGCAACTTGTGACAACTATGTTGGGCTGCTGTTTTTGTCTCTACCAACAACAACAACAACAACAACAACAACACCCCGAGCAGGAAATACGAACCAGCATACTCAGGTACATGTCTAAAGCCCAACTGCACATCTCTACGTTGTGGTTGACCATTGGTAAAAAGTAAACTTTGGATCAATCTCAAGGCCCAAGGCGCTCCGTGAAGAATGGTAAAGTCACCGTGCCATTGGTGCGCTTGATGGCTGGGACATTGATAGCCCCATTGATAATTCCCACACTGCGGTCACCATCACGAAGATCCACCAACAAACATCTGCCAGCTTGAAGAAGCTTTGCAACCTCACCTTAGGCATCTTAGGCCGGAAGCAAAAAAGATGTCCGGAGCTGCACCTTTAATGTTGACACAAGATTAAGTAACATTAAGTAACCACCCCCGATTAGTCAAGCCCAGCTCGAGCCCCCAATACTAAGCTAATTTAAAACCTGAATTCCGAATGTACATCACCCTAATAACTTTTATCCCTACCCAAAACCTTCCCGTGTTAATCAAGCCCAGCTGCCCCAGAAAAAATAGAAAAATAGTTTACTATTATATAGTTATAATTATGTTGTATTATTTACTTTATGTTTGATTCTTTTTGACTAGTATCCAATATCTTCTGGTCCATGGTGAAACTGATCTTCTGATCCACCCTTGTCTCATGCCATCTCTGAGAGATAGCATTCTGATCCACCCTTCATCAGGTCATTACCTTTATGAAGGGGGGGGCCGTTTATTAATCCGGTGTTGACATTACAAACATGTTATCCTAGCCTAGCTCAAGCATGCTCAACCGGCTTCAAATGCAGGTCCTCCAAGCCTTCCGCCGGCCTGGCTGCAGCAAAGTCACAAGGCTCCAGAACCTCAACGCCAGGCTTCCGCGCAGGTGCCATTGGTGCCACATTGACCATGGTAGTCTTTGCCAATCCCTGAAATCGGGGCACAGGACCCGCGCGTGCTGCATAGGGTCCATTCGAACGCACTTGAACAACTGGCTGGGGCTTCGCAACCACCCTCACCTGCTGCACCCCACCACTGCTCTGCCAAGGGCCTGGAGTCATGCTCATTGCTGCCACGTACGACACTGGTGCCCCGGTCTGCACAAATTGCTGAACCGACTGGGCCGGAACAAACACTCGAGGGCATTGCAAAGCCATCTGGCGCGGTGGCATCAACATGCTTTGTTCGTAGAACTAGCTGGGCCAGAGAGAGCTGCGCGCAATGTTGGATGAGCCAAGTTCTGCATTGCCCTCCTTGTCTCATCATTACACAACGGCTTTTTAGTCTTTGAAGTGTTTAGTCAAATCCCGTCTATGACTAAAAACCCGCAAAGTTTCGAGTTACTGTATGTCTTTTGGCCATGTCAAGACCCTGAGGGTCGATGCTTAAAAAAGGCACAGCTCCAACGGTGAAAACAAAATGGTTGAAAAAAAAAAACAAAAAACAAAGTGCTGCACAAGGGTCCAACCAGTCCGGTAGGTGAAAATACCTTGCTTCTTTGTTTTTTACCAAGGTCAGGTGGCACCGAGCCCAGAGGGGCTTGGGGAGACTCCCGTCCGTGGTCGCTCTCTTCGTGACCCGGGGGGAAGAGCCCAGAGCCCAAGAAGCGGTCTCCGGCGAAGGGCGTCTATCGCTTCTAACGGATCGAATGTCCAAGTGAGGTAGCCCAGACACTCCATGTATACCATATATGCCGATCAGTTGGGGTGGTTTTGGGGGTCAATGTAGGCATATATGGCAGCCCCATGGAGTGTTTGGGTAGGTCAATGTTCCAAGTTGGGTGGTGTCCAGATGGACCCCCCATCTCTAGAGTTCGAACGGACATCTTGGATACGGACATCCAGGAACCGGCAAAAAATAAACACATATTCACCAGAAGGGATTGAATCATAGGGAAAATACACAATCACATATAAGCAAAAACAGCACATCTATACCCAAACACTCCATGTGTGCCATATATGCCTATATACATTGACCCCCAAAACCACCCCATTGTAGGCATATATGGTATACATGGAGTGTTTGGGATAGAGGTCTTTGTGCCATTTCCGAATACCCTTTTGAATCTCCGCCCTCCAAACGCGCACCGCCTGGCATGTCTTGAATCCAAACCGTCACCGGAGATCATTCCGCGCAAATCCAGGATGTTGATGCCAATTCAAGGATTCAAACGATGTTGTTTGCTAGTGGATTGTTGATGTGATTCCAGGATGTTTCTTTGCTTGTTGATTCTTCCAAATCCCCAACAAGCACTTGCTTGTGTCAACTAGCATCAACTATAGCTCTTGATCCAAACAAAAAAGGATACCCCACTCACCTCGTTGCTTGTGTTTGTATCAACATCAAGGTTACCCGTGAAACCGCTGCTTGGTCAAGTGACTCGACCATGTTGAAGGCGAACTTGGACTGAATGAAACTTCCATACCTGGAAGCGCCGTCAAAGCCATCTCGGTGGCTCCACTACTCTGAACACAAACGCTTCGAGAACCGGTGGCAGCCACCATCCTGGTCTGTTCAAAAGCCCACATCGTAGACTAGACGTCAGCATATGTAACCGTATACCCTAGAGCTCCGGTCGCACCTTCTAAGAAGGTGGGACTGGGATGGGTGCCAGGAGAGTCCAGTCATACCGATAGCTTCTGAGGAGGTACTTGGAGCCCTAGGGTATAACAACTATTCCAAGATCTTCCAAGCGTCGACGTCCAGAACCCCCATGTCTTTCCATTCCAAAGCTGTAGAACTGCCGCGTTCAGTTCCGTGGGCACTGGAAACGGGTGGTTAAACATGGAAACCTATTCCAAGGGCAACAACTGGACGGCTGGAAATCTCCAAACCTGTGCCAGAAGGCGAATGGGCTGAAACCTTTGAGAAGGCCCAATAAACATGAGACAGGCAGTTTCCTGAAGAAACAACCACATGTTTAAATATACCTAGAGGAACCGTTGGCAAAAATTTTTGCCGAGACACCATTGTGCCCTGATTTCAGCCAAATTCATCGAAAAGCGCCGAATCCAAAAAATAACGCCGAGCAATATGAAAACTGCCGACTTCAATGGTTTTCAGTTGCTAGATTCTCAAACCAACACTTGCCAGATCTTGCCAGTCTTACCAAGCCCTTCCCCGCCCCTTTCCCAAACCAAACTACAGGGTGACCATCCACAGCTTGGGCTTACATATGAGGACCAAGGGATTGGCATCCACAGTTTGGATACCTTGGAATCCTTGCACGGCACAGATGAGAGTTAATCCACAGTTTGGGAGTGCTTACAAAGAACACACTTAAAAGATCCAACAATGTTTGCCTAAGTTCATGCCTTGTCTTCCAGACCTTCTTGATATTTCCCCTACGGTTTTATTGAAAGGCCAATCCAGGCAAGCAAAGTTCTGTCTTTGCTTCTCCGGATCACTCTCCAAACGATGCTTTGCCGCTTTGCCCTTTCATGATCCAACCTCCCTTGACAAGGGTGGTTGTAGAACAGCTGCAACTCACAATTGGGCCAACAAAAAGATCTTTCCAGTGCAGCCATCCAAGATGTTGATTCTTATATATAGGAAACCCCAACTAAGCAAAAAACATGGTTACGGACAATTGCGCCGAATTGTCGGGCAATTACGCCGAATTAACGGAGATTTACGCCGAATTATCGGGCAATTACGCCGAGATCTAGGGATGACAAAACTTTTGAAAACTATGAACAACTTGACTGCCACGATTCACGCAAGGGTGCCCAGTTGGTTCACGGTGAGTTTATGTTGAATTATGCATGGTCCATGCACAGTCCTCTACCTTTCACCTTGGTGATGGAATCAAATCTCTCCATTCACCAAATATGTTCAACAACAGCTTTGTGCCACTGCAAAAATAGGAAATCAGGGAAGAGGGTTGCGTCGGGCCACAGAAACCATTTGGCATTTCTGCCAGGCCTTCTCTATTATTATTCTATAATTTTAATAAACGGTTTCCTTGATCGGATCCATGGCTGGATTTGAGTGTTTACAATGAATCCCTAAGCCAACAATGCTTGGCAAGAGTTAGGAACTACACACTGAAGAAAAACACTGGGCGTGAACAGCCAGGGCGCACCTCAAGAATGCCCGGTTCAGCAGGTATTTGATCCCTAGAGGATTGTCGAGCCGAGTTATCATGAATCACCACAACCCGGATTGGTTCTGCATCTAATCAACCAATCAATATGTTCAAGAACCTCAAAAACAAAAAACGCCGAGTCTATCTTGGTTTTAGCAAATTACGCCGAATGCCCTTTTTCAGGGCAAATTACGGGTAAAGGCGCTTTTTGCTGAGGTGGCAGAAGTTTTGGTGCATTTGGAGTCTCTAGGTATATACATTTAAATCTATACCAGCACAGAAAAGACAGGTCACCACCTGACAGTTTTGAGTATCCAACAGCTACCAGAGCTAGCTCTGTAGAGTTGGGTGCTGGTATATTGATGTCTAATATGTCTGATGTTTCCCTCCCGATGTTTGAACCCCCCTCACCCCTTGGCGAACTCGTGCCCGTCTGACTCACCCGTACCCGTCTGCCCACAGCGGTCGATAGGGGTGGTTTCACTGGGGTGCCCCCACGACGAGCCACACCACCCCCCCCTGTTACGACTCCTCGTTCCGGTGGGACGGCCCCCTTCGACCCCTTCGGCCCCCTTCGACTTCGCCCCTTGGACCCGCATTCCAAACACGCTCCCCCCTCGTTGCTCGGAGCGGACGTCTGAGTGTAAAAGGATCGGCCCTTGGCCGTTGGCCTGTCTGGATCGGGCCTTCTTCGGGGGAGGCGAAGAAGAAACCCTGGGGGTCTCGTCACCGTCTTCACACGCGGACAGAAAAAAACACAAGAAGGAGGAGCTACGGAGCTACCCACAAAAAGTACCTCCGAAAGGTCAGGTGTATTTTCGGAACTTCCTCCATGAATGACTTGAATTGGCTTTGTGGGGAGCGTACTTCTAGCCAGTTGCTGACGATGGCCTTCGATGAAGGGTGAGTTCACCGCGACACAATCGTCCAACGTCATCACCCCCAACGTTTGCACGCATTCTTACTATCGGATTAACATCTGAAACTCCTTCACTTGCACACTTCGACCGGGGCCTGGTGCCCTTTCGGTTGGCCATCACTCTCACCCGCCAGTTGCAGCATTTTGGCCCAAGCGTCTCTAGCTCACCGGCCAGGTAGGCCGGCGCCATGATGAGGTAGGGGAAGAAGTTGCCTGAAGGCCAAGCCAGGCGAGATCTGGAACGTTTTGCCAAGAAGCTTGGATTCTGATCAAATGAGTCGGACAGTCAAGGAAAACAAACTTGGATTCTTATCAAGTGGGTGCATGTTCTGTCCTTTTTTTCTCGAATGTGAACTGAGCCTCTTGCTGTTTTTCACGGTGATGTTGCAAAGAAGTTGCAAGAGGTCTTTGTCCCTATACGGACTACAACAAAAGGTTCCCGGTCAAACATGACCTCTGCAAGCAAACCTGTTACTGAAAAGACTGTGCAGCAAACTGATGTGGGGGGTCCTTAGGTTTTTGACTCATAGCTTTAAAGTTTTCAATCAGTTATTCTTGGATAACTTAACCACTCACTTGAAAACTATAAACCACCTGTTCATCAGTTGACCGCCAAAACCACTCACTCAACCAAGCGTGACCCGCTACCAACCGACCGCTGGCCGCGCCTGCATAGCCATAGGAACGCCGAAGAACGCTGATGATCACCTGAGGACGGCGGTCGGCGCGCCGTTCGCGTCACCGTGGCGGTCCGCGCGGCTGGAACGGGTGACGGGTGACGGACGTGCCGGCACCAAACGAGAAATAGGGCAAGGGGGGTGAGAAGGTGTCCATTGGATGGAAGGAGAATTCCAGCCCTACCACCCGTTTGAACATGTGGAGAAAGAGAAAAACACAAGCATGAGCTAAAATGAGCTCCTAGCAGCTAGCTACCCAAACCTGATAGAACATGAACCCTTATATCTGTGGCAGCAATCCCAAGTAGACCGTCCATGTTGTTGTTTTTGTTTCTACGTGGCTCACATCAGTTTCATGACGTGTCATGGGGGGTTGCTGGGTCTCAGTGGAAGACAAGTGCCGAAGGATCTCGTGCTACTTCCCACTCTGCACTCTTTGCGCAGAGTGAAGAAGGACAGACTCCGGGGCCGTCCAAGGTGCGGAACACTGTGAATTGGAGGGTTCAAGGATTCTTAGATATTAAGTGAATTACCAGGACCTTCCAAGTTCGGTGGTTGGACACCCCGAATCACCTCTTCAGAGGCTGTGAATAGACATGTCAGAAGGAAGGTGCTGGTAGTTAAGACATGTTAAAACCTTCTCCATGCATTCCCAGACACTCCATGGGACTGCCATATATGCCGATCAGGACAGGGGTGGTTGACTGGGGGTCAATTGATCGGCAGTCCTATGGCAGTCCCATGGAGTGTTTGGGATTTGATCATTCTCAGAACAATCATTCCCAAATCGTCTCACGACTCGGTCGATGGCACCAAACGCAGGCACCAACGCCTTACTTCAATGGTCTTCAGCTTGGATTTGCGCCGTCCGATCCATTTGGCGGCTTGGACCACCGGATTTACACCAGGTCACTAGCTGGGTGTGTCCATTTTCGTCCATTCTTCTCCGAAAGCAAGCGCCACGGCCACCAGGAAGTGGCCCACCCAGGTAAGGGCAACATCTCCTTCCGCTGACGCCTTCCATCCACCTCCCTGGAGGAAAGAATAATTCTCCTAAAATCCATCCCACATCATCCACGTCCAGCTCCGTCCAGCTCCTGGCCTCCCACTTGATGAGGTAGTTGAAGTTCGTCACCACCCAGCCCAATCTCCGCTTCGTCTCCTGAGAGAGTTGGAGATCACTTGGGCCCCGCTCCGCTCCAATGTCTGGTCATGGGTCCTGGGTCCACGGCCTATCTTCAAGTCGTATCGATCATATACCAGGAACCACAACAACATCAAAGACTCTAATTAAGGGGACGATCATGGTCGATCGTTCTTCATTTTGGGATGTTCCTAACAGTCATGGACCATGGAGCTTTTGACCCAACGCATTCACCCAACTCCAGCCCGCACCTTCTTCTCAGGCTCCTCACCCGCATAGAAGGCAATGGCCTCCACATCGCTGAGACAGCATGGGCGAAGCGCACGAACCGACGTGTCGTTCTCGCTGTGAAGCTGTGAAGCCGTGGACGGTTGAAAACTCTGCACCAGGTGATCACTCCACTATTTTCCACTGCAACCCCCAACAAGGCATCATAGGATTCTTTTTGCGTGCCGACGGTGAATCCAAGACTCCTGCGTTGACAAGTGCACCTGTTGGAAGTCAAGATCTTTCGGACTGTCAAGCAGGTGGGGTCTTCAATTGAAAAGTCTCCCTTTCTTAGCTAACAATTCAAAATCTAACAAACAAAACACATCGAGGGATAGAAATACTTGCCATGTTCTTCCTCCATGTTTAACAATGCTTGTTCTTTTTCACCCAACAGTTTAGTGGAACTGTTCGGGGTCTATGCTGATTGTCCCTGCTTTTCAAGGTAGGTACCTGCGAGAAACACACGATGACCCAACACCACCACACGTCTCTCTCGCGTCTTTCTCCCGGTTGAACACAGCTCGGCCAGCCCTGCTCCACCGTTCGTCCGCCTCGGCGTTGTTGCGCACGTGGACGAGGCCATAGCGGAAGTCCGCCTCGTAACCTGCGGACGTCCGCCACGCGACCGGGAGAGAGCTCGGAGAGACACCGGTGGTGTGTACGAAAGAGCAGCGAAACGCCGCAGAGCTGAGCCTTGAGATGCAGAAACTCCTTGGATTCAGGGAACTGGGGAACTGGTTCAGAGCCAGGCTCATACATGCTGGCTAAATGATTGCCTATAAGGAAAACAACCGGTGACTAAAATTCGAACAAGATATACGGAAAACGGTCCTCCATTGGCCCTGTGCAACAAAAACATGGACGGTCCAACTTTTTTTGGGTTGTACGAATCGCCAGGAAATCCTTCTTGGCAAACTTGCCCAACTTGGAAACCACCGTGTCTTTCGTGGTACGACCATCAACCATCATCAAGTTGGAATAATAAAATGTCAACCAAAACCTAGGAAGTGAGGACGGACGGTAAAGATTGGCTGCTGTCCCTCACGAACATAGTCTGTCTTCAAATTAGCCGTTTTGGCTTTTTTGTTTTTTGCTTCAACATGCCGGCCTAAATCAGCCTAAAAAGGTTGTGGCCTAAAAAGGTTGTGCTTAAATCATCTAAATCAGCCTCAGCCACATGCTGTTTTGTTGTGTTAGTGTGACGTTAAAGATGTCGAGACTACATTAGATCTACATAGTCTCTGGTTGTCTCAGTGGTTCGACAATGTTCGACATGATTATCCATTCGAGGTCGACAGCAATGATCATGGAGATGAAGCCAATGAAAGAATGCACATGAATGATCCATAATGATCCGGCTAATCTCGTTGGCATTCCTTGATCAACCAACAAACATTGAAAACATTGATCAACCTTGTGCATTTCATCTCTCACTTCGCAGCACTGCAGTGCTTTTTCAAATGCAAACTATCATAACATCTCGGCAGTTCCCACACCAAGCAAGGGAACCAGCACCTGGATTGGCCTCTCTCTTTCAGAAACAATGCTGTTGTTTTTTTCCGCAGAAAAGAACCCCTGGTTCACCGCACTCCCCCACCACTGCCCCCAGGAACGTAGCTGATTGTAGTTGATGCGCACCAGCTTGTGGCTGGACAAGATCAGCACCAGCGTCGCCGTCCCCGAATACGCCAGCAGCGCCAGCGTCAGCTTTCGACCTGCCGAGCTCTGCGGCGAGGTCAGACGTGAGACCGACCGGCCCTGGTTGGGCTGCACGGACGACCTCTGTCAAACAGCGTAGCAGTGAGGCTGGTGATACTCCGGATCAACCAAACCTCGAACTCCGGTCCGTTCCAATGCCATTTCCAAAAATGTCCAATATAGGACGTCCTGCTGAATCAGAGCTCCCCAAAACGATCCCGGAAGAGCCCTATTCAGATCCAACATGGGCCACTCTGTCGGTGCCACTGTCGTCGACATGCAAGCAAAACCCCCGTGGAAAACGACCAAAACGTCGTCTTTGCCAGAGAAAACAAGCACCAATTCTTGCCAACCCTATAAGAATCCGAGTCGGCCCTCTCCATGGCAGAGGGTCAGGCCCGCACCGAAAGGCAGGGGTTATTCCGCGGCACCCGAAGCAAAGCCTATGTGTTGCGAACCGGGCCTGGATTCTTAGGGGAAACACCATTCCCAGACACGACCCATGGGACTGCCATAGGACTGCCGATCAGTTGGGGTGGTTGTTTTGGGGGTCAATTGATCGGCATATATGGCAGTCCCATGGCGTTTGGGATTGGTGGTGTGGGTGAGGTGACCAGTCACCGGTCACCTGGATTCGATTTCTGGAAGTCCTCGATGAACGAGACCGGCGAGGCGAGCTGAATGTTCCTGTCCGAGTCGGGGGGGGCGAGCTGCTGTAGCCGCAAAGCATGGAAGGCTCACATCCCGGCCTTAGACTCTTAATTCACATTTCCCCACCACATGGATCATAAGGCCCTTCAGGCGAATGGGGGTTGAAATAGAAGAACAAAAACAAGTCAGATGAGCATTGCTCCAAACCTATGTGCCCCGGACCGCTGGGCTCGACCCACACATTCGCCCGGACAGCCCAGCTCGACCGCTTGGTTCGAGGGGCTGATGCTCCAAAGCACCACAATGTTCAGCACCTGAGTGAACGAAGACCATATCCCAACAACCATCCATGTATGGACTACTTGTGAACAGTTACATATTATAGGTTTTTATATCCCATTTATAGTTTCATCCATTAACAAAAACTCGTCTATATGTGATCCAGCCATTGTAAGGTAGCTATTCCAGTCCCCTCGATGGTCTGCAATTCACGTTCGATGACATCGACGCAGAGGCGCCGCGACCAACTGCACCGTCGTGACCGGAAATGGTGAAAGCGCGACCGAAGTTGATCTGGAGCCGAAATCGGACATCTTTTGGGGATGTTGGTCTTTTTCTGGGGGGTGCCATGTGGAGAAAATGACACGACTTCGGGTCCGGAGCCGCTTTCAGGTCTTTCTTTGTCTCAAGAGTGGCTACTTTTGTGCGTTCGGACGCTAGACGCTAGGTGGAGGCCATCGCAGTAACAAGAAGCTTTTTAGTATGTCTTTGAAGCTACTAGTAACTATAGAAGCTTACTTGGGAATCGTTTCACCTGTAGTAACTATACATATTGCAGGTCTTAAGAGTTATTCAAAAGCTGGCCACGTCGCCAGTCAAGATGTGTAGATGTCTGCATCTGCAGAATCTGCATTCAGGATTTGGGGAGTGTGATAAATTCACCTCGAACTCCTAAAACATATCTGCACCTCCCAAAGAGATACCAGAACTGCTAGGACCTATAGCCCATTCACCTCCTAGAACTCCTCTCCACATCTTGGATACCTCCCCACCAGGCGATCGGGCACAATGCTTTGTCGACATCAGGAACCAACTTGTGTGTCACACCCCTGGACTTAGCTGCCCCCCCACAAATAGAAGTGTATATATAATTCTATAGACAATATTAATATATTCTTGAAGGTTTTCACCCATTGCCAATGAGTTTAGATGGCTATTTTGTTAAGATCTGTCATGGGCTGGATGTGTTGGCTCAACCACTTGGAGCGAGATTAACGGTTATCTTCTTCATGATCTGTACTTGTAAATATTAGGTATATTCCACTTGGGACTGAATGTCTGCTTTGCAACTAGCTCTTCTCCATCATCGATGCGTCCAAACACCCAGTCTTCATCGTTCATGTCATCCCAGTGGGACCAAGGGGCCAAGGTCAGCAAGGAGTCGATTGCGCCGACCTATGGGAAGCTGGTAACAAAATACCTTGTGCACATTGAAAAAAGAAGAAGTACCCTTCCGAAATAGGAACGTCACCTCATGTTCTGGGGCACTTGCTGAATTGGTCCGCCCAAATTGTCAGAAGGTAGTGGTGGATTGGGACATGAGCAAGGCCATGACATGCGTCCAGTGCGTGCAGGAAGGAACCTGCTTCAACTCGCTGTTGGAAGGAGGCTCCACGACGGACCTTCCTTCCACTTGCCTTACCCCCCCTAGAATCTGGGTCCTCAAATGGGGAAAGGGTTTTAGAGCATCCGGGCCCTACCCCGGGTAGTCACAAGGCGGTTTTCAGTTGAGCATCTCCGGACGATGTCGGACGGTCCTCTGCTCTTGCCCGAGCTCGCTGCAAGGAGCGCAGCCAGTCGGACCTAACTCCACTGGGAAGGTCTGTCTGTCTCGGGTCGTCTCCGTCTCGGGTGGTAGCCCAGATGCTGTGAAGGACAAGCTCTCTCTCGTGTAAGTCTTCACATCCTGAGAGAGCGGGAAGAAAACCCACATGCCCAGCAGGTTCCTCCCCACCAATAAGGCAAAGATCGATGGTGTCACAGGAGGACTGCACATCGAAACATGGCTTCGTCTTGACCATCGCAGTACTTCAAATGCCGACTCAAGCAGCATGCTATCAGGGTCTAAAAACGACACGTGGTCTTCCCATGTGCCTCACACAAACAATTTCTGACGAGTTCGCTTGTTTGGAAAGGGTCAAAAAGGATCACAGGACCCGACACGAATACCGAATACCTCATCAAGCGTGGGCGTGGAAGACCATGAGGAGGGATCTCCCTAAAGTACCTCCCGAGAAGAGGAATCATCGCGTCAAACCGATGTGATGGAAGGGGCTCCTCCCGACTGGTCTCGGGACTAGAGTCTCGACTCGAAAGTGGCCCAGGATGTCCGCCCCTTTTCAATTCTCCCTGGAACTCACATGGAAGTGGAGAATGGCCCTGAGTCTGGAAGACCATGAAATCCACAAACCCAACAGGTGGTGAACTCCACGTAACCATGTGAGTTCCAGGTAAAGCGGGATTCAATCAAGGACCTGGTCTGGCTCTTTCTCATTCAGGGTAGAAAGTTCAGGACTTTGCATGGACCTTTGCATGGGTTTGGGGCTATTGAAAACCCCGCCATCGACAAACATGGAGGAACATCGGAACATCTCTGGCTGTAGAACCATCTGAGATCAAAAAATATCATATCAACCACCAGGAGTGAGAAAGGGGTGCTTATTGGACTCGGGGTGCCTAACAGTGTGCCTACTATTCACTCACTGGATGGGACTAAACACTACTCTTTGTGGCTCCTGGAAATTCGATTCAGGAGCCGAAATTGATCGTTCCCCGCCCCGGACCTGGAAAACGATCAACATCCTCATCAATGAACACTCGGATTTGTATTTTGCAGGGCTCCAGTCGTACCTCCTCAAAGGTATAGGACTGGACCCTCCAAACCCATCCCAAACACCTTCTTAGAAGGTGCTTGGAGCCCTAGGGATTGGCATGTTAGTCAGTTTCCCTAAAAATCAATAGGAACCAAACCAAATCATTGGTGCGAGCGCTATCCTGCGTCCAGTAGCTAGGAGCGTCCAGTACCTTGCCTAATTAAGTGGACGGCTAGTTAATCAAGTAAGAAGGCAGGGCCACGGGCTTTAAAAAAGAAACACAAGAAAGCACCAAAATATGCCAGGCATCATCTGCCATACGTTGATCTGGGTTGTCCACCTCGGTATTTGCCTCATCGTTGGGATTGATGTCCTGAGTGAAGAGCGGAGGAACGCAGGAGGATTCGGACCAGATCAATTGAGGCTCGATACACCTGGCTGACTCGAATGTGCTAACCACCGAATGCATCAAACCCAGACACTCCATGGGACTGCCATAGGACTGCCGAGAAACGGCCAGGGGTGGTTGACTGGGGGTCTGGCTTGCTCGGCAGTCCTATGGCAGTCCCATGGGTCGTGTCTGGGAAATGTCAACAGACCTGATCCACTCCGATGTTCATCTCCGATTTCTATATATATATTCCTGGAACCCCAAACAACCAGAAACAAATGGTTGTTCCAATATGGCATGATCGAAATCCTTTACATAGGAAATGGTTGTTTGGGGAAACATCCATTTCTTTATGAGAGTTTGGGGTTCCAGGTTAATGACTCATGCAGTGGATCAACATGCTTCTTTATGATAGATGGTCCTGCATCCGTCACCCACATGGTCTAGGCCCTGCATCCATTTGCACCGGCCCAAAAACGCCGTTTTGGTCGGTGGCAATGCGACATACGGTGACACAACATTGTATTTTGAGGGGTGCACGTTTGGTGCATGACATGTGATCAATTGAAGACACAGGAGTATGTCCCCGTTTTGGCCTTTCCTTTTAAGACAGCGACACATCATCGATCGTCCACACACAACATATATAAAACATGTACCCAGTCTTGTTGCAGAACGAAGCAACAAAAACACGACTCGACCCCAAGCACCACCATGGGTGTTTCTTCCAAAGCTCGTAGTAGGCACGATGGCTCATGTAGCTGTCAATGAAGTTTCTGGTGAGCCATTCGCGCCAAAGGATGGATAGCTTGGCTGTGAACCAAAATTGAGCGCTCCGAATCCTCAGCACAGGCGCCAGACTGGCGCTTCCCGCATCATGCCTATCTAGATGTTCTGAACATATGGGACAAATATGGAATTAATGGATACGCCGACATATAAAATGAGACAAAATGTCATCCAGGTGGATATGTTCTGATAAAATTAGTTCTGGACCAGTCCTCAGGGACATCCATGGTCTGAAAACCACCTCGGACAGACCGACTGACAAGAGACCCGACCCAATCAATCTGCAGCTCCAAATCACCGCATTCTGAAGATGTCGGGTCCAAAATACATATACCCAAAGGCTCCTTAGACCCTCAGTTCGCTAGGGTTTTGACCCTCACAACCAGGGTGAAATGGACCGAACCAACATGTGGCGCAGTTTGAGGCTCACGGGTATGATTTAAGCCTTGAAACCTGAAGGTGTCAACACATACTTTCAACATCGTTCAACGTAAATCATTAGCTCACTTCGTGGACCGACGGCTCGCTGACGTCAGCGACGCCAGCGACTAGCGGCCTCTCATTCTTTTAAACTCGTTCTCTCATTCCTAGACCTTCAAAGTGACCTCTTTGGAGTGTCTAAGTGACCTCTTCAGGGACCAAGTGACCTCATTCTGAGATCTCAAAAGGTCACTGTGAAGGTTGTGGTTCTTGTTGTGTTCCCGGTTTCTTGAATCTAAGGGACGGCAAGGCGACGATGAAGCAAGCTGCATAGGCCGTCAAGATCCGGTAGGTGGAATCCCCATCCTACCGCCGCACGCTCCGAGCGGGGGGCGTCGCCGTGGTGGTTGGAAGAAAGGCGCAGGGTATCAGTGGGTCGATGCAGAAGGAAGTGTAAGGCAGCTAAGCAGATATATAAGTGCTACTACAGGGTACCAGTGGTTAAAGGGTAACTGGTACATATATATATATACTTATAGTATATCTTGTAGTGACCGGGTACATAGCCGCTATAAGCCCCTCCATCCAAAAACAGGACTCAAGTCTAGGTAGGTCCCTCCTGCAGACTAAATGAGGGTGATCAGGAAAACAACACAAACTGAACAAACAAACAAACAAAGAAAGAAAGAAACAAACAAACAAACAAAAACAAAAACAAACCAACAAACCAAACCAAATAACAAACAAAACACCAACCAACCAACAACCAAAAAACCAACAAACCGACCAACCCACCCACCAACCAACCAACCAACCAACAAACCAACCAACAAACCAACCAACCAACCAACCAAGCAACCAAGCAAGCAACCAAGCAACCAAGCAACCAAGCAAGCAAACAAGCAAGCAAGCAACAACGAACCTCGTGACCAGAACGAAGTTGTGTCACCTGGACTCCAGTCTCGGGGTTGCTTTCACCCACGAGTCTCCCCGTCGACCGGTGTCCCTCTTCACCAAGGCATTGGTGAGATCTCGGGCAATGAAGCCGATGCCGGTGTTGAGGATATTGATGATCAAAAGGACAAAGACCTCAGACATGGAGATTTTGGAGTGCCTACAACGAGCGAAACATATTGGGTGGTATTCTTTCAGGGGTGTGCCAGACCATCCATGGGACTGGCATGTGACCCCAATGTATTGACCCCTGTAATCAACCACCCCAACTGATCGATGTAAACAACTGATGTCCTGTCTTTATCGGACCAATCTGGGTCTGTCAGAGGTGGAGCTGGCGCAGGAAGCCGGCAAGTGTCTGGTGGCCCGGCAGGTGTCTGGTGTTCTTGCTATGTTGGTCGATGTTTGCTGATCTGACAGGTTTGGAATACGTTGCTTGTTTGAAGTCATGGAACAACATGGAACAACACTTTCACGAACCTCAATCGATGGTTTGGGGACAAATCCCATGGAAATCCCCCTGAGTGGGGACCATGTCTCACGGGGGACTTCAGAACTCTACAGGGTCCCGCCGGTCCCGGTCCCGTCCGGTCCCACCTGAGAAGGTACGACTGGATCCCTAAGGGACACACAAAATATGACCAACTCTTGGAAACTCACGTGGACCCGGGTCGAGGAACTGCAACGAGGCTGTTTTTTTCTAGGGTCCATGGTAGGAAACTCCACGGGGTATGACAAACTCTTGGAAGCAGTGAAACATATGGGAAGGATTCTTTTGTATTTGGGAAGGAATGATCTGAGAAACCCCGGAGAGTGAGCTTCTATCATCTGATGGCAGCATGTGTACGAAGAAGAAGCGAGCAGTGTCCTGGGCCCTGGGCCAGGGTTGAGGTACAAACCACGTATACTCTAGACTGTTGATCAAGCATGATCTAGCCATGCCGCCCCACCAAGACCCCCCGAGCTACGTAATTGTTCAGTTGTTCTTCTCTAAGGTTTTGAAACAGCTGGTTTGGGGTACCCTATGTTTCTGAACAGCGATGAAAGCACTTCACAGGCAATACAAACCTAAAGCCTATAAGCATAAACCCAAGAAAAACAACATGAACCACTTGCCACTTACAGTACCTAGAACCCATTTGACCGCTGTTGTGATAGGAACAACAAATTTTGGTTCGAGAAATCCAACGAGGTCAAGGTCACTCAAGTCATTGAGTGTTGAGCCTGCGTGTTCATGTTGAACCTACAAGTCCTGAGTGTTCGGTTCGAGAAATCCAAAAATCAAGTCATTTCATCCACAGACACTCCATGTATGCCATATATGCCTACATTGACCTCCAAAACCACCCCAATGTAGGCATATATGGCATACATGGAGTGTCTGGGGTCCACACTTAAGACACATCAGACGGTGCTCAGGCTCGCCATGTCTGCCCCGAATCGCCCCCGGGAGGACAACGGGAGGACAGGACTGAACACCATCCCCAAACCCAGACACGAGCTGTCTGGGACTGCTCAATGGGGCGGCAGTCCTATGGCAGTCCCAGACAGGTCGTGTCTGGGAGTGCTGGAGGTCGTGTCTGGGAGTGCTGGAGGTCGTGTCTGGGAGTGCTGGAGGTCGTGTCCGGGAGTGCTGGAACTCCCTGTTGAGTGCTCTTTCCCCCTCACTCCCCGCAGAGGCTCGCCCACCCAGCTCTCCCAGCGACGATGGCTCCGAGCAAAATCCATCCGATCCACCTCGCGGCACCGATGACATGGCCGAATGGATGTTGGGATGCATCCCCTGCCGCCCTCTGCGAGGGTGATCCAAGACGCTTAAGATCATTATATGGGCGTGTATCGAAGAGTGATGCACATTGCAAGACCTCCCAGGCATTCCGACCCCCC